ATGTAGCTTAGGTGGGGCCACGAGTTGGGGGAGGCAGAGTTTCAGGGAATCCTCTGGGCGGAGCGACCTCTGTAATCCAGTTTGGTGACCTCTCAGCTCTGGCAAGCCTGCGTCTGCACCCTGGGAGGAGGGAGGGCTCAACAGAGGAGCAACGGATACTGCCAGCACCTGTGCCCAGGAGAGAGCCTCGCCTCCAGCCCTTGCTCCGACAACTCGGTGTCCCCCTGTAAGTCCCTGATGCCCCCCGTGCAGGGTTCTGGTGCTCAGAGTGAGCGGTCCATCACTGCGAAAGTCTGCTCATGGATGCAGCCCCTTTAAGAGGCGACTGCCACTGCCTCTGTCTCGCTGCCTCTGTCCCACTCCGCCGCTCGGGACCGGGCGGGACCAGGCAGCCCCGCGTCCTCGCCGCGCTCCACCTTCTACCGTTGCAGGGTGATTATGACCCTCCCTAGTTGTAGGGCTTCTGTTCGTCTAGATCCCAGGTGACTCTGCTTGCTGTTCATTCCGCGTTTCTGTCACAACTTTGATTTGGCCGCAAGAGGGAGGAATGGAGCCTCTATCATCTACACCATTTTTTCCCAGCATCAAGATTTTTCTAAGTGACCAACACATGACGTTACAAAATCACACATGGGTCAGAGCCCTTCAGGGCGCAAGACAGACCAGAGGGTTTTACTGTGACAGAGCGTGGAAAATTCATCTGTATGGTTTCAGATTCCACACGGAAACTAACCTTTAAAGAAACTACCACCAGTCAATTTGGGGATATGATTAAAGAATATCCACAATTCTCTGAACGGGCTACTAAAATTCTCCTCCCATTTCTAACTACATGTCCATGTGAGGCCAGCGTTTCTTTATCTCCTCTAAGCAACACACGGCATCAGCAAGAAGCTGGATGCGGGGCCCAGGTGCCCTCCGCCACGCCAGACATTAGATTTCGAAGTGTAGAGCAATGCCACTCTCTCCACTTGTTTTGAAAATTGTTATTTTCGCAAAAATGTTATTAACATATATAGGTTTATTATGATGTCAAAGTAAAATTTAACAATATTTTTTTACTTCTCAGTTTTAATTGCCAACATGGTACACTCAGAAGATATAACTCACACAAACAGCAGTGCCGTGGGGTCCCCTTTTTAGGAATGTAAAAGGTCCTGAAGACAAAGAGTTTGAGAGCTGCCACTAGAGAATATTTGTAATAAGTCAGTCACTCGGCTAAACGTCACTCGGCTAGTTAGTGCAGAATCCTACCATGCCAGGAATGAAGGCGACCGATGACAAAAGGAAGACTCGTGCCACCAAGGAGTTCACCCCGCTGGGCTGACGGACACCACAGACAGCAAGGCAGGCAGGAGGCCCCACGTGCCGCGGAACGGGCACGGCCTTTAGAGCAGAGCCTCTGCCCGCGGTTAGCCTGTGACCCTGGGCTAGGGACCGGGTCTCTCGGAGCAGTCCCTTCTATTGACTGGGGATGTGAACACACAGCTCAGGGTATTCTGCGAGGCCTAAATAAGAACTGTGAGGCTGGGCCCGTGCCGCCACCAGGCCTGCCCCCACCGTCTCCGTGTGCGCGCACCTCATGCCTCGAGCGTGGCTGGGGTGAGCCCTCCACCCTCAGGAAGCGCTGCCCTTCCAGTCAGGGGTATGAATGCTTCACGTGCTCCTACAGACCCTTCGGGCAATTAGGAATGACAGTGGCTTCTTTTCTGAGTGGCATCAATAGACAGCAGGAGAATGAAAGGAGTGGACATTCCAGTAGGAACAAAAGCTAACCCTGCAGTCACAGAAGCAGAAGCTTATAAAACATTAGGAAAGTTCTCGAAAGAAAATGTTAAAAATAACAGTTGAGATTATAAAGGGACGATGATCAAGAATCAGGCTGACTAAAAATACAATTATGAATATAATTTCTCCAAATGTAAGAAGGTCGACAATACTTCCGAAAATACTTTTACCTGGTCTAGATCCAGAGACGAATAGACAATTTTCCCTTTGTCGTCTCCGGAGAACAATTTCATTCCATTGGGGCTCCAAGCCAGAGCTGTTATGCTATTTTTGTGAATACCAGTGACATCAAATCTCCGAAGCTATGAATAAACGATAAAAATACACACAAGAAAAAAAAAAGAACAGACACTGAGAGAGGGAATATGTGGACAAGGTGGCATGCAACCTTCTTACTCCGGGAGGGGCTGGCTTCCATCTGCCTATTCACCTTCAAAACCCACAGACGACAGCCAGGGAATATTAAGCAGAATTTCAATCACCCTCATGCAGGGGTCCCCAATCTCCTGGCCGTAGGCCGGTACCAGTCTGTGGCCTGTTAGGAACCGGGCCACAGAGCAGGAGCTGAGCGGCGGGCGAGCGAAGCTTTATCTGCATTTGCAGCCGCTCCCCAGCGCTGGCATCACCGCCTCAGCTCCACTTCAGACGGTCGGGCATTAGATGCTCGTAGGAGCATCGGTCCCTGGTGCCATAAAGGTTGGGGACTGCTACCCTTATGTGTTTTTTGCCAAATGTCCTACTAAGAACAAAAATGTTACCTGACTATAAAGAACACAGTGTAAGCTTCTCTGAGTATGTATTTTCGAAGAAGATGAGGATTTCTCACTGTAAAATCCATGAGGAATTTGCCAAGAAGTTAACAAGTGCTAATGTGTTTAGTGCGCACCTGTCTATTTCTCCCGGGCAAGGAAGACACAAGCTGGAACACTGCAACCCTCCCGGAGGCTGTGCCTGCAGCCACGAGGTCATCGAAGCAGCTCAGCAGCTTCACCATCGTGATGGATTCTGTTTTTCCCTAAAAGAGGAAACATCCAAAATCAAAACCTGAAGCAGGCCTGCTTTCGAAATGTCAAACATTTCCAGTGGAGTGGAAAACTTCATTGGGCTGCAAACAGAGATGCATACAACACAGAAAGATAATTAAATCTGTTAAAACCCTCCTTTTCTAGGTTTTTAATCTTTGAAATGACAAAATTAAAAACTGCATTTCCAATACAGGAAATGCAGATCAGTCAAGTGTCTGCACATGCTGAGCTCTTATCAAGAGACAAGGAGCCCAGACGAGGAAGGCGCTGCCCCCAAACAGGAGTCTGGGTTGGCTCACTGCAGGGATCAACCAGACGGTGCACCTGGAAGGGCTTTGTAAATGATTCCTGGTGTCTCGGTTCTGAGATCGATAATCGTATTAAATAACATCAATGCAAGCTTAATTGGTTTATTAAAAAGCACACGTACAAGCACTGCATACAGATATTCAGGCTTCCAGGCCACGTGAGGAATCATTTTTTTTAGTTTGAAACCATTCATTCAGCAAAATTACACAACCACGTGACCTTGCTGAGACATCCAGCAAGATCTCCAATAAGCCACTTTGATGCCCGCTGCGGTCATGTAGAAGGCAGGCAATCTGTCACATAGGTAAGCGCACCCCTCTATGTTCAGGGTATTGAGTCAGCTGCTATGGTAACATAAACTAAGTAGGTCGTAGGCCCCCCTCTGGAAGCTTAGCTGTGGCAATGAGACGGGCACCTGAAAAGCCGCCCACAGCCAGGGGGGACGCGAATGACTGAGCTCACCCTCATCGGGTACTGGACAGCTTTAGGGGATTCTCATGGGCTGCAAGGACAGCTGGTGCTAGACCGAGGTACAGGTGAGGGGCTTGGATCTTAAGCCATAAGAGAAGCCCTTGAAGACCCCTGATTGTGCCGGTGTGTCAGTCAGAGGGGATTTGGGGGACCAGGAGGGGGCCTGGCAGGAAGCCCACGGGGAGCCCTGGGTGGCAGTTCGGGCCGGAGGTGGTCCGGGCCTAGTCTGGAGAAGCGGCGGACTGAACGGGCCCGAGGCAGCACGCCAGACGGAGACGGGCTCTCTGCGAAGACGCAAATGAGATACGAATTCACTGAATTCATACGGATTGTTTCACTGCTTTCCTCCTCTTACTAACAAAAAAACCCTGGTCTGAAGTTTGAATGTTCATACGACTTTATAATGCTCTAAAGTTAAACAAAGGACTCCGCTTTCCTGGACCGCTCTCCTCAGCCCCACAGGGCAGGCTGCAGTCCGTCCCTGGACCCGAAGGAGGTCCCTGGGGCCAGGGACGCTATGAAGGAAGAGGACGAGCAGTCTGAGAGCAGAGGAGAGGAGAGGAATGCTCTCGAAGTGCTGGGACGGAACACCCCCAGGAAGTGAGGCAGGGATGGAGGCTCACGTTTTCCCTCCAGGCGCCCACATCGCTTGCTGGGAAAACGCGCGGCACCCGGGCGTTCAGCGCACGGGCGTTGTCTGCGTCCTCCGTTCTCTCCGACGGCCTGTTGGTCCGCCTGGTGCTGACGCCACAGCGCCTTACTGAAGCCTCGCAAGTCCTACCACCCAGAGCGGGAACGCCCCCCACCTTCTTTGCCGCCGGCATCCTGACTCTTTTTGACTCATTACAATTTCATACACATTTTTACTCACCCTATCAACTGCCGTTAAAAAAAATTGTTGGAATTAAGTAGAATTTATGTCAATTTAGGGAGGATGAACATTTAATAAAATACAATTTTGACTGTGAGTCACTGTAAAAAACGTTGAAAACTACATTCCCAGTGTCTAATGAACGGAAGCAGCCCGTGCCAAGAAGGCCCGTGAACCCCTGAGCCGCAGAGCCACCGGCCTCCCAGATGGAGGTCCCGGGCCCCTGGTCGGCACGGCTACAGGTTACTCCACAGGGAAGGCACGGGAAGGCGTTTGGCAAATGCACCTCTGGCCAATGCGCAAGACAAAAAACCCCATTTCCATGCTGCTTTAAAAAATATACTAGGTGCAAAGTCAGGTAAACATTTAGAAGCATGTGCCTTCTAGCTGAAAACATCCTGGGCAGGTTCCCATGCTGAGGCCTGTCCTTCCCTCCGCTTGCGTGCCACCCCAGACGTGTCAGCGTGGAGTGCTGGGGACTCTCCTTGAGACTTTGTTCAGCCGTCACCTTCTCGGTCAGCCCTTCCCTGAAGGTCCCATTTAAAACTGGGCTGCCCAGCTGGCACGCCTCGCCGCCTTCTCTGCTTCACCTCGCCCTCAGCACGTGTCCCCACTCGTCCGTCTGCATGTCAGCGTCTCTTACGTTTCTGGCTCTTCCCATGAGACGCCAAGCTCCACGAGCACAGCGGCTTTGCCTGCTGTGTTCTCTACTGCGCCTCCGGGACCGGAAATGGGCCTGGCACACCGTTAGCACTTGACAAATACTGAACGAATGAAAAGGGCAAGTGTGGAAAAGTGGCAGAAATGAGAATGAGCAAAGATGTGGTTAGTGCAAAGACAGTTCAGAAAGCGAAGCCATGAACTTCCACAGCTTGCTGAATGCTAAGGAGAGAGAGATCACACGTGTAATTTCAAAACAGAAGATTAGAAACTCAGGTCAAGTTGTCTTTCTGGTCTGTTCGTGAGTATGTCACATCCATATACCTAACGAGTTCATAAGATTTTTGTACTTATCAGCGCCTCACGTTTTCCCCGCGTTTTTGGCACCAGCTAGGAAGAATTTCTCGTGTCTCCATCTGCCCTCTCTTGCTAACTTGTATAGGGGAAAAAAGGTTTCCAAAAACGTTGTTCTGAAAACACATGCCAGGCTATGTTTATCACGTAAAAGGTCTGCTTTCTTATTTAGGAACATGCTTCATTTTAAAACATGATCTTCCATCCGTATCACACATGCATTTCTTAGAGGGTAAACTGCTTTTTATTTTTATTTCGCTTCTCACAAAATCTTAGACTTTCCCTGAATCAACCGGGTTGAGGCATCGCTCCATTTTCCCCTGGAAATTCCGGAGACCCAGAGTTTGGTTTCTAACTGTCCTGACACCCAGACTCCTGTGGAAGCCCTGCCCTCTCTCACAGGAAGTGAGCGCCATGGCCCGGCAACCAGCTACTGCGACCAGATACGTGGCCGGGAGCAGGGACCTTACCCTCTGTGCCTCTGTAAAGCCTGGGGATTGTGCCAAAAGGTTCTAAGACCCAGCCGGCTCTGAAGATGAAAATGACAGAGACAACGACATAAATATTTAATTCAGCTCTAGGCTTGCACGCTAATGACTGAAAGGCAAAATAAATCTTTGTCCTGTTGTTTATTCAAGTAATATATAAATATGGTCTTATTACCAAAAAATTCTAACAGTTCCACAGCATTAAAGTAAGACAACGAATGCTTCCCCTTCACGACCGTCCTCAGCTGACCCATGCCAGGGCCCTCTGAGGGTCAGGTGACCTCGCACCGCTGGGTGTCCATCCAGCTCTGTGTTTTACAGGGACATTTGGTTTTGTTTTCAAACCCTAACATTCTAATTCCAAGTTCTATGTTCTTTCCAAAACAGATTTTTTTTTTTAAATTTTCTACTTTCTTTGTGATTTTCCATAATTATGTTCATATTCTATACTCAGTGGGTACTCAAAAAATGCTTTTGATACTTAGGGCTGCCAAGTGTGGATTTGGGCCCAAATGAAGTACATTGGGAAAACCAACTAAAACATATACATGGGATTTCTTCCTGGAGTCCCCTCCTAGTCTGCTGGGTCCAGTCGTCTGTGCTAGATTCCCCCAAATTCTGGTCATCCCCGCAAAGGCCGTCCTAGCATATCACATCTCTTCAAAGTCCACAGGGCTCATTATACAACAAATAATACACTAATTCTCGGTAAAACTATAAAACTTACAGTCAGTTGTAATTTATAGCTTTATTCTAGAGAGCATGGAATTCTTATTCCTTTGAGAGTTTTTTGAGTTTCGTAGCTAAAATTTTAAAAATAGTCACATAGTTATAAATTTTTAAAAAAATAAAATGGTCGTCAATGAAACGTGTTTTGTAAAACAAAATGGGGTTATAACTGCAACCTGAGAAGGGGTGCAAATCCTATCAGAGCACACTAACGCATGCTTGGCCCCTAACCCTCCCCACACGTCCCCAGAGCAGTTCTGGAGCCGACTCGGCCCGGGGGCAGGTTCCAGCCCTCAGCCTCATGGGGGAGGCCCTGACCATCTTTCTGGCCTATCACACACTGCTCCAGGTCCTGCTCTGTATTCCACTTCCTTCCAAATACACTTTCTGGAACAGTAACAAAAGCCCTTAAAACACCAATAAGCCTCATGCCAAAGGTTATGTAATAGTGAATTAAAGCTCAAGGGGCTAAAAACTAGTCTACAGTGTCAGAAGTCAGAAGTATCAAAATATACAAAGAACTCATACAACCCAATAACAATGAAAAAACAAACCATCCAGTCAAAAAATGGGCAGAGGACCTAAATGGACACTTCTCCCAAGACATACAAATGATCAACAAACATATGAAAGGATGCTCAACATCGCTAGCTTTTAAGGAAATGCAAATCAAAACCACAATGAGATACCACCTCACACTTGTTAGAATGTCTATTATCAACAGGACAAGTCATACCAAGTGTTGGAGAGGATGCGGAGAAAAAGGAACCCTCATACACTATTGGGGGGACTGCAAACTGCTATAGCTACTACGGAAAACAGTATGGAGGTTCCTCGAAATACTAAGAATTGATCTACCATATGATCCAGCAATCCCTCTACAGAGTATTTACCCCGAAAAAGATATCTGCACACCGATGTTCACAGCAGCATTGTTCACAGTGGCCAGAACATGGAAGCAACCGAAGTGTTCTACAATAGATGATTGGATAAAGAAGCTGTGGTACATATACACAATGGAACATTACTCAGCCATAAGAAGAGATGAATGAAATACTGCCATTTGCGACACTATGGATGGACCCTGAGATAATCATGCTAAGTGAAATAAGCCAGACAGAAAAAGTTGAAAACCACATGAGATCAGTTACATGTGGAATATAAATCTAAAAGCAACAAACAAACATGACAGAGACTCATGGACATGGACGGTAGACTAGTGGTTACCAGAGGGGAGCGGGGAGGGGGAAGTCGGAGGTAGACGGGATAACGGGGTCAAATATGTGGTGAAAGGAAGAAATCTAACTATGGGCGGTGAACACACAATGCACTGTGTATGCGTTACTGTTCAACTGTACCCTTGAAATGTATTGGATCTGGTTAACCAATGTCATCATAATAAAAAAAATAAAAGTAAATAAATAAAAATGAATTCCCTAAAAAAAAAAAAAAAGCCAGAAGTAGGGACCTGGGGAGGAGTGTTGATCGGGAGGAGGTATTTACCGAGGGAGTCCACTGGGCTGCTGGAAATGTTCTGCATCGCGATCTGTGTGCTGACACAGGTGTACAGACACACGAATTCATGAGATCTGTACACTTTATGCAAATTGTACTTCGATTAAAAAGCGAAAATGAAACGAGGAGAAACACGGAGCCTGGAAAGCCTGCCTGAACTTAAATTTGCTGAGGTGTGTTCTAGGGTCTCCCCGAGGGAGCGGTCCACGTTTGCCTGTAAAGAACATGTATGCAGCTGTTGCTAGGTGCAGCACCCTGAAAGTGTTGACCAGATCAGGCGGCTGACAGCAACTGTCACCCGGCTTTTCCACATCTTTGCTGGTTTTCTGTCCGGAACTTCTACTACGGCGGGAGGTGCTGACATCTCCAACTGTAAGTGTGGATTTCTCTAGTTTTCCTTCCAGCTTTGTGGGTTTCTGCTTTGTGTTTGTAAAACTCTGTCATCGAGGTACATGCACATTTAACCCTGCTATGCCTTCGTGGTAAACTGACCCTGCCCCATTACGTAAGGTCTCTCGTCGTCCCTACTTTTCTGCTCAGACCACTGACATGAACATAGCACTCCGAATTTCTTTTCATTAGTGTTACATGCTGTATCTTTCCCCAACCTATCACTTTTGACCTTCCATTAATTTTAAACTGAATCTCTTAGAGACAACACAGAGTTGACTCATGATTGTTCTCCATTCCGAGTTCTGTCTTTTAGTTGATATGTGAGATCATTATGGGTACATTCTGATTTAGGTCTATCACTGCGTTTGTTTACTTTTTGCTCCTGTTTTTCCTTCGTCTGTTTCCCTTTTCTTGCTTTCCTGTGAGTTGTTCGAATAATTTTTAAAAATCCATTTTAATACACCTATAGTGATTTTGACTATACCATGTTGTAATGGTTTTTTCGTGGTTGCTCTAGGGATTACTCTATACACACTCACACACAAACACACTGTTTTTCAAAAGCTGTTTAGACTCAACATTTTACCTCTTCAAGAATGTAGAAACCTTACACCATGTAGGTTCCTCACTCTCCCCTCTCGTTACACTCGTCTTACATATTACTACACCTGTACACGTTAAAAACTTGATCTGTTTTTTTTTTTTTTTAATTTTTACTACCTGTCAAATATATGTTAAAGAACTCAAGAGAAGAAAAATACCCTATCGCATTTATCTAGATATTTACTATCCTTCCTTCAGCACTGATGTTCCAAGCTTCCTTCTGGATCACTTCCTCTCTGTCTGAAGAACTTCCTGAAGCAATGATTTTAGAGCAGATCTGCTGGCAATGAATTCCTCAGTTTTCCTTCATCTGAGAATATTTTTATTTCACCTTCTTTCCTGACAGATATTTTCACTGGTTACAGAATTTAGTGGACAGTTCTTCGCTTTCAGCATTTTAAAAATGTTGTTCCACTCTCTTCTAGCCTCCAATAGTTTCTGATGAGAAATCTATAGTCATTCAAATCATCGTTCTCTACAGGTACTGTGTCATTTTTCTCTGGCTACTCTTGAGATTTTTCTTTGTCTTTTGTATTTACTAGTTTGCTTATAGATGTGTCTGGGTGAATTTCTTTGGTTCATCCTGTTAGGGTTTTGCTGTCGGATTCAAAGTCTTCCTTGTTAAGTGTTTTGAAGTACTTAAGAGATTTCAGATAACATTAATTCATAACTATAGTTTTAAAGATTAACTATGTAATGGTCTTAAATGTTTGGGGAATTTGATAAGTTAAATCCATAAACTATTAATCAAAGAAAAGAAATAGCAATAGTTTTAATTTTTATACAGAAATATTAATATAAACTCTAGAGCCAATCTGCCCAAGTTCCGACAATGGTGCCACCATTTACTAAGCCTGAGCAAGCCCCAAGGTTAACCTTGCCTGACTTTGGGCAAGCCCCTTAACCTCTCCGTGCCTCGGCTGTCTCCCTGGTAAAATACAGATAACAACAATAACATCTGCCTCGTATAAAATGTTTGTAAAGAGGAAACGAATTAACATGTAAGGGTTAGAGTAATGCCTGGCATAGAGAAAGTGCTATAATGCGAGCTAACCATTTTTGTCATTTTAAATTGAGTACAGAGGCTTAAGAAAAACTAAGTTTTTAAATTAACAATACTCTCTTAAACACAAAAGCCTGTCTTGGTCTGTGAAATTCCCCTACCCATAGGCAGAGTGGAGCCCCACGGGCCATGACGTAGGAGCCACAACTCATCCACCTGAGCCTCACCCAGAAAAAAGCCACAGATACTAACTGAATGGGTGGTTCGATGATAGCCCACCAACACCTGGTGCCCCTAATATCTACACTACACAGACGTGCCCAGGTCAGCCAATGCAGACATAGGTCGGTCGGGCCCCCGACAGCTGTGTTCTGCGGAAGTGACCTTATTTGAAATGGCATGTTCTGCCGGCCAGCTAGTACTGGCACTAACCCTTTTTCATAACGAGTTTAACAGAATAACTAGAGATTACTCAAGTACAACTTCGAGAAACAAAACACTTAGAAAAAAATACCTACTTCCAAAGTTTCCTACCAAGTGTTAAACACTAAACTGTCCCTTTTAGAGTGATGCAGGATTTCTGGAGGCAGGGAAAAAGTGAAAAACACCAATGTTTTTAGCTCTATTCCACCGCGATTGAGTATGGTTCCAAAGTAGTGTTTGGGTGAGATACTCAGGCCACGTTCCAGCAAATCGAAAGTGAATCATCCGAAGCCGGAACTCACGAGTGCACGACACGTCGGCCGCGGTGAAAGGGAAGGCAGCCTCACCTCGAAGTTGTACTTCTTCATCTGGCCGGAGTGCCGGCAGTACAGGTAGAGCATGCCGATGCTGCTGCCCACGGCGATGTAGTCCCCGTTGGTGTCGAGGGCCGTGAGGTAGACCACGATGGTGCGGAAACCCTTCTGGATCTTTGTGGGAATGGCATTGAGGAGAGAGTACAAAGGGCAGAACTCTCGGAACGTAACAGGCTCGGATACGGAAGCCATGGCCGAGGTGTCCAGAGGACCTGCAGGCGGGGACAGGAATGTTTCTTCGGCATCAAGGGAAACCTGGGGGATGGAGAGCAAGGCATCGTGATTCTTCCCACGCCTGGTCAGGCCAAAGGGAAGTCGTGTTTAACAGTGGGAACGGGGAGCTTTCAGGTGGATAAGTGCTACAGCTGGAGCATAGTTAGACAGAGAAAGTGAGCCAGGTGTCACTCGCGTCACTTCTGAGCATCTGTGTTCAAAACGTACTTCAATGTGTACTGGCCCCTGTAATTTACCTTGTGATACATATCAGAGAGATGGAAAGCGTATTAAAAAGTTCTCATTTCAAGTAGCTTATGACTGAGCCGGGGAGGGAAGAAGGCAGTGAAAACACGCAAAACTCCACGTGACTGGACACGCGTCTGTGGGTCTTGAGGAGAGGAGGGAGAGCGGTGTGGACCAGGGAGGTGGTGGCTTCACTGGAAACATCCTGAACTACGAAGCCGCCGGAGAGGACGGGACATGGGAAAGGGAAACAGAAAAGACACCTGTCCTAGGGGAAGTGAGCCAGGCCCTGATGCAGCGACAGGCTGTGCTGGGCCGGGCCCCCGCTGGCCGTCCGCGCCTCCTCTGCGCCCAGCGCCTCAGCGGCACAGACTCTCGCCTGCTCTCGTGGAGGCCACACCGCGTGGCACTCTGGAGCCTAAGCTTCCCCTAGTCGATACCCAGTCCTGACACGGCACGTTACGACGCACCCAGGTTCACTCACGCATTTGGTCCTCTCCCTACCCTGGGAGACGGTGGTGGCATCATCCCCAACTTGCAGACGAAGGTATTGCAGGCCAGAGGCTCACGGGCCTTGCGCAAGGCCACACGGCTGAGACCCGAATCTAGGCCCGCCCCCTCCCAGTGCTGGGCCCCTTCCAAAGTCACAGTCACAGCTGTGACAGACAAGCAACAGCTCTAGTCACATGTGCTGTTCCTGATTCAACCTGGAGGGACGTTCAGCTTGCAAGTCCATGGAGATTTTCAAGGCCCCCTTGTAGAATCTTCTAGGGGCGCTAGACTGACGGTCTATTTGTACTGTGGGTTTTGTTTCTACAGAGTTGACTGACGTCCACGCCCTCTGCTGACGAAACTCACCCGACTCCTTCTCGCCAGAGGCCCTGGCACTGGCTGTTCCTTCCAGCTGGAAGGCCTTTCTCTAGATGTCACTCAGCTTTTGCCTTTTCTCAACATGTAGGTCTCTGCTAAAATGTCCCCTCCTCCACGAGGCCTGACCTGACCACCCCTGAGCACCCTCTATCACATCCCACCCCGGCTTTACCTCCCCACACATCCCTTCCCTTCCGCTGCCCGGCCCCCGCACCGCCCTGGTCTGTACGCCCCACCGAAGCGGAGCCCACGTCTCTCACTCGCCCGTCTCGGAGGCGCTCAGGAAGTACGTACTGAATGAACGAGATATAAAAAAGGAAAATTTCCAAGGAAGGAATGAGTGACAGGAATGGAAGAACGGCACAGTATCTTTTCTGCAGTATGGTCCCGACTCAATGCTGGAACAGTAACCCCGGATCTGGGCCGCCCATCAGTTTTCCACGCATCTTCAGATCCGTGTCGCTGGGAAGTCACGACAGCCGGTACCGGGAGCGATGCAGGGTACCCTCGGAGCACTTTCTAAGGTAATAATCGATATACCGCTCCGCAATGGCTAAGAATACCGACGGACACTGCCACCTTCGGCAGGAGTGGACGCTCTGGGAGGCTCGGACACAGTTTTAAGTGCTTCATGCCTTGTGCTGTGTGCAACAGAAATCAGGATGGTGATGCTGGTCCCGTCCACACAGTGGCACAGTTTGTAAATGTACAGCTTTTAAGGACAAGGCCAATCCTTGGTTTCGCCCAAGTACTCCATATATCAAACAAGGGCCAAATGGCTACCAGGCAACTCAAGTGACAACGGCCACTGGCAGACCCCTTGGGAAAGCATGTAGATCAATCACTGAAGGACACGGGACACAAAAACCAAAACGACGACGATAACAGCAATGGCGGTAACAGCCAACGCTATCAACGGAAACCATCCTTGGCACACTCACTAAATCCTCACAGAAAACCTGCGAGGCAGGCCCCACCGCCACCTCCAGCTCACGGATGAGGAAACCATTCCCGTTTCAGCAGTCTCAACCTGCTCGGTAAAGTCAACACTGCTTCCGTGGCCACAAGCATCTCCATTAACGACACAAGACACCTCTCCGCACCGCTCCTCCTCAAGCGGGGGTGCGCCCTTCCCTCACTCACGCCACCGGCCCCGCACACCTGGGAGCTGGCAGTTGGCCACGCTGACCGACACGATGCCGCCTGGGTGGGCTGTTTTTCAAAACTGAGGCTAAGACTAATAATACGTAGTCCAAGTCATTCACTTAGCGCTCAGCACCAATACGTCGCCAGAGCACGCAGACAACACCGTGGTCTAAGGAGTCGCTCTAAAATCTCTACAAGTGACAACAGAGTCCCTGCTGTATTACCTATTTTTAAAGTCTAGATGCAACACTTATTATTAAGTGTTAAAATCTAATGGCTGAACATGATGAGTCTGAGGTAGCCATTTATCTTCCAGATGAAATTCTGTCCCTTTGCTGATCCCACGCCTGCTGGCCAGCCAGCGCTCACAGGCTGAAGCCTGGTGAGAGCGTGGAAAGTGAGCATTTTTAAAACGGCCTGTGCCTGCTGCATCCCACACCGCAGCCAGAGTGGCTTTCCACCACGTTCCCTGACAAGCCATGACCCATCAGTCTTAGCAGGTCCCTTTCCGCCCTTCCCCGCCACCCCACACACCCTGTAAGAACGAGGTCACCACCAGGAAGCCCTCACAGGCCCCCTCAGACACTTGGTTGGTCTTCCTGTGCCTCTGCAGAACGCTGGGGGCAGTTAGCACACAGCGCCGCCGGCGTTTGCTCCCACTTCCTCCAATGGACTCTTTCTAGTCTTTGCCCACATCCTCCTGGTCTACATACTCTGCGGTGCTGCGAAGACCAACAGAAAGTAGGGTACGATCAACGCTCAACATGTGTTTGTTGACTTATTCTCTCTGAAAACACTGTGCCAGAATTCCCCACGTATGACAGCCCAAGATGGAAGATGACGCTACCTCAGTCACAGCCATCATTATGCAGAAACTCACTGGCCTGACATCCAGGTCCAAAGAATATACTCACTTAAAAGTGAACGTGCACTTTGAGCAGCGGCTCGCTTCTCCCTCAACAGTCAGTCGTCAGCTACAACCCCGATTCTACCAAGCTCCTTGTGCTCCACCGTACCTAGGAATGGCCACATTTGACACCAAAGCTTGTTTTCATTACGTGATTAACTGTCTCCTGACCCGCTCTTCACTTTTCCAAGTTCAACCATCTGCTCCGCCTGATGCAGTTTCTTCTTTTCCCACTAAGTGCCGGGAGCCATTCTGTCCCACTACGCAGCCACCACTATGACATGACACCCTCCTCGAACTCCAAGTGTAACTTCTCCAGAACACTGCAAATCCAGCAGGAGCCAATTTTCCATTGAAAAAGACAACGTGGCTACAAAATAACTTACACCTAACAAAAGCTACTTACTAGTCATTCCTTCAGAAGAGGACTGTCCTTATCCCATCTTCCCCACCATCTGGCTCCAAGCCAGTTTCTACATGAATATACTCACTTTTAAGTAAGTATATTCTTTGGACCTGGACATCAGGACAGTGA